AACTGGTTCTCGTCGAACTCAAGTCTGAGGTTTACCTGCTGCTGTTGTCGTGGCTGCGGTGCGGCTACAGCTGCCATCGATGCTTTTCGGGAGTTTATATTCTATTAGAGGCTCATTTGTGTGATTGCCATCAAGGATATGGATATGGACACTTGTGCAGTGACTGCTGCAATTTTCCAGCGATTGCCAGCTCAGCTAAATTGAACCTGCAATTGGCATTTTGGCAAATAATTGCTACCATGATGGAAGACCCCTCTCTCTCTCTCTCTCTCTCCCTCGCTCTTTAATAGGTTGTACAACTCAATTTGAGTTGAGTTGTTGTTGTGTCTTTGGCTTTTGGGTTTATTGTCTGCATCTGCTAATTATCGTTTTCAATGATTTATGTCTTAGCCATTTTTAAATTTATCATTTGCCTTCGATGCGCTAGGGGGGCATCGGGTAAACCGTCTGAATATCACCTTGATGGATCATCGATCAACTGATGGATTGTGTGAACCGTTGAGGACCGAGGGCAAGGCTGGGGGGAAGCGGGATGAGCGTGCACTTGTTTAGGGCTCATGATTACGAGTACCTCGATTGAATTTCTGACATCTTGCTTTGTTCCTCGTTATGGCGTTTATCTTTCTGCCTATTTCAATTTGTACGTAATTAATGATTTATTCAAGCTCCGCCGAGTGTTGTCTCAATTCCATAGAAGTGATTATTAATGATTGTTACCAAGTTGTTGGTCTCCAACTGGTGTACAGCTCCAATATTCTTACCCTGATTGGTCTTTGAGAAATGGCGACGGGCTTTCATTATCCAAATATGGGAATATAAGGGAACGAAACCCAATTTTGATTTAGAACTGCAGTCTTATATATAATTTGGTATGTATGAATACGATAAATATATATTTAATAAAATATAATTCTAATTCTGGTACGTAAGGACATTCAAAAGATATGAGATTTATCATAATATATGTTTTTAATTAAATAAAGCTCTTATATATGGATAACTAATTAATCTTAAAGAGCCCAAAGAAAATACTATTACTAAAAATAAACAAAAAACTGCCACATATCTAATAAACTGAAAGTCAAAGGGAAAGTCGTAAATCAAATTGAAGACATCGATTTTAAATAATCGCTTAAATTGTTAAAGTGTTAACTTTTCTAATGCGTACAATTTGTCCTTTATCAATTCCAAATTTTATTTTTTCAATTTGAATTTTACACTTTTTTCTTAGTGTGAATTATTTTTGTCTTTATTTTCAAATTGACTAGTTCTCTTGGGATGAAGTGAAGTCGTAATCATATTTTGCACGATTTGCCAGTAATTATATCAGATAAATATTATCTGAAAAATGCTTATAGTTCTTCTGAGTAATATAGCCTAAAAACTAAACGTCTCCCAAATGATAAGTTGTTTTTTTTTTGTTTTTGGCAGGGAAGCGAATTCAATTAAATTTCTATTTGAGGCACTTCGTTTGGGCAAACAAGAACGTTATTAATTAATTTCAGCAGACCGAAAACAAATTGGAACTCAAAACTATGGCGCTCTTGCAAAAAATCCTTGGGTCGCCCCAAGGCAAAATTGGGAGTGGGAAAGCGAATGCAGCTCGACTCTCTGTGGGCGCAGAAAGCGCATCCGCGTTGGCTGTCGAACTGGTGGCTGGGACAGATTGGGATTGAAATTGGCAGCTGTTCAAGAACTATTTCGAGTGGATCTCGCCACCATGTTGAACGTACTTAAAGCAGCCATTGAAGCGTAACCGGACAGCAGCCAGTTTGGGGATGTGGTGCGATGTGCTCCAATCAAATGTTGAAATTTCCAAGCATTTGCGGCAAAATCATTTATGTTTTTGAGGCATTTTCACGCGCCTGCGGCAATTGCCAGACGACGGTCATATTGCTGAGAACATTTTGTTTGCCGTCTCAATTCAGAGAAAAATGCCGCACAAATTATTAATTTGATTTTGTGACATAAACGTGAGCACATTCTGTGCACCGAATACAAATGGCCAGCGATTATGTGAACAATGCGAATTCAATTTGTTTAAGCTGCTGCCAGAGATCGAGTACGCAGTCTCCAACACTGCCGCCTCCGCCGGCACCACCGGCTCCAACGTCCAACGTCCAACGCCTCCAAGTGCCTGTGTGCTGGCAGTGGTGTCATGTGCTCCTGACGCAGTCGCAGTAACAGTCGCAGTCGCAATCACTGAGGCCGAGGCTGGCGATTGTTGATCCGAGAGTCGTGTCTGGGTCTGGCCTCAGTTTCAGGTGGCCATTGGTCAGTGTTTTGTTAATGCCAGTTGATTAATGGCTTATTATGATGTCAGATTAATAAGATCGTTTTCCAAATGGCTTGTTTGTGGTCTCTGCAAAGCGGCCAAAAAGTTAAACATGTTATTCGCAAGAATCCGACAAGCCAACAACTTTTGCCTCTTACCTCTGACATTGAAATCACTCGAGTCCATAGAAGTTTATTATTGGAATTGCCCGGAGATAGAGTGAAAATCTGTAAAATGAAAAAAATCCCCTCAAAATTAATTGTTTGTTTAGAGAAAACATATATTTACAAATACGTACCTTAAAAAAAAGAATCAATATTTGGCAATCATCGTTTGGCCTGAAATAAATACATAAAATTATATGTCCATTTAAGCCCCACGGATCCCAGATTTGTTTGTGTATGTGAAAAGAAAGCAGATGCTTAAATTTTTAAATACTATATTTTATTATAAATATTACAAATAAAAACAAAATCTCATTTGTAATTTAATTATAATTTTATGCTTTTTCTGCTTGTTTTATTCTTGCATTTTGCAGCTCTTCTCTCATCTTTCATCATGTTTACACTAAAATTTAAGGTTTATTTACAACAAATTATTTAGCATTTTATTTGCACATTTCATTTCAATTTCGCTGTGAAATGTATGTGTGATTCTCCCATCTAAGTACATACATACACAAATACATATAATATGTAAATGTATTGTTTTTAAATATGTGCATACGCATTTTGAATTTTGTTTCTTGTGAATTTCTACAATACATTTTGTTTTTTGTTTTTTGTTTTTGTTTTGGTTTTTTTGTTTTGTTTTTTATTTTTTGTTTGTTTATTCATCGAAACTTAATCGCTTAGTTTCTTACAGAACGAGGCCGAAAGTTACGTATCTGGATTGAGTTACAATTTTACTCTAGATTTCGAAGCCAATCAATGGTGCAATCTTTATGAATACCAACCACACTTGGCTGCTGGTCTGCCCTACATTTCCCTCTGCATCTATATTTTGGAATCACAAATTGTTGTCTCTATTGAGTAGTACTTTGTAGTATTTGGGATTTTACGTATCTTTTGCTATTGCTATTGCTATTGCCTTGCTACAGTTCAATTCAGGAGTGGGAGTGGCAGGGGAGGGGGGGAATTGGAACAAAACGAAACGTTGTCTACAAGTTGCACGCATAATATTGCGTTGGTTTAAATACATATATATATCTACATATAAACATAGTATGTGATGCCTTTTCCATTTCTTTATCTTTTTCTTTAACTTTTACATTTTCTTTATAACTTTGGTATATGGATTTCTACATTTCTCGTTTGTGTGTGTGTGTGTGTATATGTATATGTGTGTGTGTGTGTGTGTGTGTGTGGGCTTGTTTGTTTTGAAAAACGTAGAAATTGAGTTGAGTTACGTACATATATTTTTGTTATAGGTATAAGAGTAGGCGGCGCAGTCGCCGCCTGCGTTCAGAAATATATGAATATACGTATTTATTTGTATTTTTCGTTTTTTTCTTTTTTATTTATTATATTTTCCTACTTTACATGGATTATTTCATTTGTTTTGTTTACACTTAAGTATTTTGAAAACAGCGTGTACATTTTTTTTTAACAATATATAATTTTTTTTCGTATAATGTTTGCCAATTGGTTTTTGTCGGTATACTTTATATCCTTTACGACCTAATTCAAGTGCTTGCAATTTTTCGTTTTTTCAAAAATTACAAAATACAAAATTGAAAAAAATCAAAAATTAACAAGAAAAGATTTATAAATTGCACAAGAAATAATATATGTAAGTATATAAAGAAAACAGCGAGATAATCTTTCCACAGTTGTCTACTTTCAACAATCATTGTGTATTCCAATTTTCAGGGAAAAATCATATAAATTCGGCTTGCCGAAACGAATCTCGAGTTTTATCTCTGTTTTTTTATCTCATTTGTTCAACTTTGCTTTTGGTTTATCGTTTATTTGTATTGTTGTTTAGTTTTAGCAACATCCTTCATGGTTTTGGTATCTCTTTGTCTAATCTTGCGACATTTAGCACTTATTGTTAGTTTAACTTTTTAGGTTTTTCTCTTAAAGTTTTTCGTTTTTTGTTTTTAGTATTCTGCATGGTTTTCTCTGTTTGTATTCTGCTAGAGAGTGGTCGTTATTTTTCAGCTCTAACAACATAAAACACACTATTCGGCATATTGCATTGGTTTAGCAATTGGTTTCCTGTTCTGAGTTTATTTTGCGCTAAAAATTGCTACAAACATTCAATTTAGTTTATTTTATGTTATATGTTATAGTATGTGTAGGTTTATGTGGTGTATACAGTATACAGTATTACACTATATAAATTAATCGTAGATTACTCGTAAAGTATGCTTTACACTTAGGACGCGTAGAACTAATGTTATTGTGTATATAGTATTTACTCGTATATATGTTTCATATATATGCTTTTAAGTTATTATTATTTGTAATCGTATTATTATAGTTATATTATTAGTTTAATATATTCATATATATATATATATATGTTTATATATATACTATATGTGTATAGCTTATTTAATTCTGAGGTCACATGAGTTGGTTTTGTTGAGTTTTACGCTTTACTTGTATTCTTTTATTTAACTTATTACGCTTTCTCCATTTGCATTTTGTAAAAATTAAATAATAATAAGAAAATAATAACAATTAACTAAGTTGTAGTGTTTTTTTTTAGTGTAGTGTAGTGAAGTGTTGTGTTGTGTAGTGTACTTCAGTGTTGTGTAGTGTACTGGTTATGTACTACTTCAACGCATAGATAGTTACATAGTCCTCTTAGATAATTCAAAACAAATTCATAAATTGTAAATTGTATTTAGCTTGAAATTTCATTTAGTTTTGTGCTGGCTTCGCTACTCCGACTTGGACTCCGACTTGGACTCCGACTTGGACTTAGACTTGGACTAGCCCCATCAATGCCATACTACTGCGGACTGTTGGGTGGCGTTATTTCATCACCCTCGCCGCCGGAGCCGGGCTCGCCCTTTGTCTTGTTTTCCTTCTTCCATTTCATGCGTCGATTCTGGAACCAGATCTTGATCTGACGCTCGGTCAGGCAGAGTGCGTGCGCGATCTCGATGCGTCGCCGGCGCGTCAAGTAGCGATTGAAATGGAACTCCTTCTCCAGCTCCAGCGTCTGGTAGCGTGTGTAGGTCTGGCGGCCACGTTTGCGCTCTGTTGGTTCCAAGATGAGCACAGGGAATAAAAAGAAGAAGAGAAAACTTCACAATTAAAATCAACGCATAACGCACAATGTTACCAAATTCCAAAACAACAAAAACAACAACAACTAGAACAACAATAGGTAGAATGCATACAACAAACAACAAACAACAACTACAAAAGTGAGCTGAAATGCAGTCACATATCAACATTTGTATCCGTATAGGTATCTGTCTCTGTATTGGTATCTGTATCTGTAAATGTTTCTGCGGGCTTTGTTCTAAACCCAATCCCAATCTGAAAACCACATGAAGCGAGACGCATGCAGCGTCCGCCACGTCCGTAGACCGACACTGATTAAAAGACGACCTTACCGAATTCAGATATTTGTACTTGTCAAAATCCCAACAGGCTCCGATAGGGGACAGCGAACGGGTATGTGTTGCGTTGCGGCATCTCTTGGATTAAGGTTGAAGAGATTTCATGGACAAACGGACGGGCCCAGTTGCAGTGGGACACCGACACGGATTGCGGGGAGGGGGAGGGGGAGGAGCAGTCTAACTAATTACGAAGAGGTCTGGAAGGCAGTCAGGTTGAAGTCAGTGCAAAACACTCGACGACGGTAGCTGAGTAACTGTAAAATAATTTGGAATAATTACTGCGCCCGAAATGAGTTCAGCGCCTAATGACACTTACTATAATTATAATTTTGGTAATGACAAAAAACCAGCACATAAACCGAAAAACACACAAAACCTACAAAGCGACAAAGCGAAAAAGAAGAAGAAAAACCGAAAGCAAAGCATGAAAATGCCACACGAAAATATGTCAAATATAATATAATTGTCAATTGTGTCCCTCCCCTCTGGCCCTTCTTTGGCCAACCATCGAAATGGTCAGCTAGCGTGAGAGCCGACGGGTGGGCCACCGTCTGAAATTGTCGCCAGCCAACTCGACCCACCCTCGACGGCGGATGGGGAAATGGCTAGGAAGTTGAAAATCACCTGAAGAGCTCTCGGGGCTGGTCACTCGAATCGCGCATTACCCACAAGCGGGGGGCGTCTCTGCACTATGCGACTTGCCTCGACTCATCTGGACTCGCCTAACTATTTTTTAATAATATCTTCAGCATTTGTCTTGCTCAACTCGCTCGTTCAATTTTTGTAGCTTTTCTGTTTTCTGTTTTTTTTTTGGTTTTTTCCTCAGATCTCACTGCGTGGCGGTCATTACATCATAAGCTCTTTTTGTGCGGCGGCCATTAATGCGCGCGAATCCGATTCATCCGCCAAGGGGGTAGATCCATGGCAGCCGCGGGCAGCCCAAGCCTCAAGAGTGGCGGGGGGTATCAGTGGTAAGGGGGGGGGGGGGGGGGGCAACGCAGCTACCTTCTTTTAAATGACACGACTGATGCCATGTCTATAACCCAAGGCGTTCGCATTTAATCATCATCAGTTAGACGAGTCGCCGCAGCGGCACAAAAAAAGGCAATATGAAAAAAAAATGATGAAAAAAAATAACCTTAAGAGAATTGTGGTAAAAAGCGTGCGTGTTTTTTTTCTAGCTGCCACTGTCTAGGCCGTTAGTCGCAGTATTGGCAGTTGCATGTGGTAAATACTTGGCTCAACTTAAGCTGCGCATTAGGCGAAGATGAAGAGGATCGCTTTAGACTGGCTTTGGGCTAGTCACACTTAAAAATGCTCTTCCTGCGCACAGCTAAATGCTAATTAATAATTCAATAATATGTTAATAACATAATAAACATAAAATGCGCTTATTTATAAAAAGGCGTGAACTAAATCAATATTATATCCATCATCTTATCCGAAAATATTAAATTATCATTTGATTTTTGAATATTTTTGGCAATATAAAACCCACAATTTCTGATTCTGTTTGTTTTATTTTCCACATATTTATTCTAACGAAATTTCCAGCCATGTCTGTGTTACATACGTTGCCATTAGCAGTATCATTTCCGCCAACGGAAGTAGTGCAAAAACTTGAGCTAATTAGCAGCAAGCGGATCCCAGAGTCCATTCCGGAGTCAGTGCTTGTCCCGAGGTCGGGGCATGCTTCCAGCTAATGCAACGCAAATAATTGATTATTTTAATTGATAAAAACACCTTCGTGGCTCACAAGTCGATGGCTGCGACTGAGGCGGATAGCGGGCTTAATGGGGGAAGGTCAGCTGGAGAAGTGGAGGGGTTGAGGGGTTGAGGGGTGGAGGGGCAGGGCGACTTTCGTTTGGTCTCTGGCAATTAAAGAGCGTGCACGCTTACCTCTTGGCTGCCTGAAATTAGTTTTTAATGATGCCTTTGCACATTTCATGCGGCCATCACTCAAAAGCCAAGAAAACAAAATATAACTTCTTTGTTTTTTTTGTGTTTGTTTTTGTGTTTTTTTGTTTTTTTTTTTTTTGGGTATAGTGTGCGGCGCCCCATTTACACGGCTCCGAAAATGTAGTACTGAAAAATTATTATAAACGCATTAATGGCGCTTTGAAGCAGCGCTAGCTAGTTTCACGGGCCTGTGCGGTGTGGGTTGGGGGTAGGGAGATGGGGAGAAAATGGGCGTTCTGAGTATCAGCTACGAAAAATATAATAAAGGTGAAACAATTAATATGAAAAGGAGTAGCAATACGCACTCGACTCAACTTGAGGCAAGGCGCCAAATGTGGCGCAGCTCACGTGGCCGCACTGTGCCACGCACACCCCTCACACTCCGCACGCCCAGCTACTGGCCAGTTGGACTACCGGTTAGCCAGTTGGTCGGCTTGTTGGCTGGTTGGCTGTTTGGTTGGTCGCATGGCTGGCTGGCTAGCTGGCTGGCTGGCTGGCTGGCATTAATGCTTTTTGATATGAAAGCGTATTGTAATTAAATTGCGATTAGGCCACCATTTTAACCATTTTACTTCTTGCTCCATAATGGATTTTATTCCACTTTTTCTCCATCCCCCCATGTGCACACAATTACATTACTATTATTGTGTCTGTGTATGTTTCACAGCGTGTATGTGAGCGATTGTGTGCGACGCAACATTTAAAGGAAATCATTAAAATAATTACTACAATATTTTACGAAATTCGTTGAATCGCAAACAAATTATTATTAGCTATAAACAAAAGAACCGCACAACAACAACACAACAAAAAAAAAAAAAAAAGAAGACAAATGAAAAATTAGAATCCACTTTGGATAAAAATGGATTCAAATTGTTGTATCGAAAGATTTGCTTGCATTTCAAACTAAATAAATATGAATTACAGGATTTTATATAGTTATGATAATGTTTTAAATGGATATCACACACATATCTAATTTAAATATGAGTTAAATATGCATTAATAAATATGTTCATAATATTATATTATTATTATATTTCGTCCCATCATACAAATACAAATGCTTAAGATTAATCTCCAAATAGGCCAAACGATTGATTATTAGCCATTTCACTGAATTGGTTGTCTCTCACTTGATGTGTGTTAATCACAGCTCGCAAGTGATCCATTAAAGTGCTAATTGATTGCATTTTGCATTTGTGTTGCAGCAATCAGAATTATAAAACAACAACTCGCAGAACGCCAACATTAACCTTTAATTCATCGATCAGAAATTGTTGTTGCTGGTGTCTTTGTTGGTGGTCGGTCGCTTATTTGTTTATTTGTTTATTTGCTTATTTGTTTACTTGTCAAACTTGCATGTCATGCACCGGCATCTGGCAAAAAAACGAAAATGCAAATGCACTTGGCGAAAAGTAAAATTGTGCAAAATGCAAAAAAATAAAATAAAATAAAAAAAACACAGACACACAGAGAGACACACACATCAAATGCGAGTAAATGTTTTTTTAATTGCGGAAATTACAGGCAAACGCGCGAGCAGCCACAACAAATGCTGACAAATTATTATTGTTTATGCCCGAGAGTTGATAAATTTTAGCCAAGAGCCAAGAATGTTCGTGTGTGGCATTCGAGGAGCCTGTAATGTCACCCAGTGCAAAAGTTGTCGAGTCAGGCGATGAGTTTGTGCTAACTAAACAGCGCCACCTGTCGGTGGGTCGGCCAATTATCTCCATGGAGACCAGTCAAAAAGTATTTATTATTCACACGCTTTCCAGCTGCTGGAAAAACGGCAAGCCATCCACCCTGGAGTGGAGTGATCTTTGGGTAGCTTCTGTGAAAACCCAATCCAAATTAGAGGTTTGCGAATGGGCGATTTGATGAGTTAACGGACAGGTTCTTAATTTATTTTCAGGCAACAGTTTCTTTATTTTTAATTAAACTTGAACGCGAACAGAGCGAAGTGGTTGGGGGCAGGGGTAAGGACAACAATTAAAAATTACCATTGACCAGCAGCGCATTTATAAACATTTTTAATTTCGTTTTCCCTTCTGCTGGCCATAATCTCAGGAGACGCTGCGACTTTTTAATTTGGGACTTGTTAAGCACTTAAGAGGGTTAAAAATCGACAAAAGTTGACAGAAGTAACGAAAAAAAACGAGAGAAAAAAACAAAAAACACACACAAAATGCGCACAAAGGACCGCAAAAGGCAACAGAGATATGTTTTGGTATGTGGCATGCAACCTGCCTTATGAATGCGTTCATTAGAGACGCATGCACATGTGCAGAGGGAGCAGGGGAGGGGCTTGTGGGACTTTAAACTTTATTTAGTTATCGCTTAAGCAAAGGCAAAACACACACACACAACTCATTCTGTAATGATACCCTGTAAAATTGGAACCAATTCCAGTTCTGGTTCCAGATCTGTCTCGTTTCAGAACTGCACATTGTTCAATATATTATATCTATTTATAATATTTGACTGCGAAAAGTAGTTTTAAATAGATAGCATCTAGTTAAATGATTGATCTTTAGTTGTTTCTATTTGTTCGAATTGAATGCAGGGCATCTTGAAGTTAATCACTCTAATGTCTGCAATTCATACTTGTTTAGTTCTGCGTTCAAATTGGTTGGTTTTTTTTTTTGTTGTATTTTGTTCTATGTTCCC